CAGGAACGTAATGAGCTTCCGGGTTTTCAGGATGTCATCCCGAAGCTACCCTAAGTCGCCGAATTACCAGCAGTAGCAGTGGCTTGAGCAGGAAAGAGACCAGCAGCAGCAGCAGCAGCCGCCGCAGCAGTAATACTGATTGAGCAGCACCGCCACCACACCACAGTGGCCCTGGCAAAGCATTTCACGATGAAAAAGCAGCTGACACTGATGTTGTGGTCAGCCAAAGGCTTTGGAATGATGTCCTCCCATGCATCTTGGCCGGAATCTTCCGTAGAGAGCATGGCTATTCTTGCATTGAAGGTTCCGGGTGCTTATGGATCAGGGCCATGCTGCCCTCCTGCAAGAGTTTTGCCCAGAGGGCCCAACGCCCCTTAATTAAGGAATATACCTTAAATTATAGGGCCTTAATATTATGATTTAAGGTATATTCCTTAATTAAGGGGTATTGGGCTCTCTGGGTGCACCTTTGGTGGGAAAGGTGAATCGGGAAGACCGTTGGCCCTAAACGAGAAAACGAGATAGTGGGTACTTGGAGGTTCATGGGTAATTGGAAGTGGGGTTATATGTAGGGTGCTGTAATGATAGTCCATATTAGGGCTTATAACCCCATCTGTAACTACCCATGAAGCTGCAAGTAATGTCATAAACCCTAAACCCTAAGCCCTAAAGGCCCCCCCTTATAACTACCCATGAACCTCCAAGTAGAGGTGCTCAGATTTGTAGCTTCAGGGCATGGAGTGAATTACCGGATGGAGTCGGCATCTAGAGTCTGCGGGCGCTTTCGATAGGATGCACGGTGTTTCTGTTTCGGTGCGAGCTGGAGAAGAGATTGTGGACCTTGTGTGCTCTCGCTAAACCCTAAACCCTAAACTGTTGGACCGTCTCGAGAGATCACACCCTAAACCGACCAAGGCCATATGGCACCACCCGTCCCAGTCGACTTGATACTGGCATCTCGTCAAAAAAGTGATGCCAAAGCCGTTTCCACTTGTCTGCAGCCTTTGGGTAGTTCTCTAAGTTAAGGTCCATTTCAGGTCCCGCCAAGTAGTACCACCACCCTTATAGAGGATACTACAATGGACCCTAATTCAGAGAACTATTGTTTGGAACATTTGGGCTTCGTGGTCCACGAACCCAAGAAATCAGCCTCACCTACCATCCCTGCAAACTCAAGACTCGAAAAACCCTAAACCCGGAACTCTAAACAGCCCCAATTCCTTCAAACACTTAAATCCTAGACTCAACACCAGTTGATACCCGAATATCAACAGTTTGTACATACGAGGCCTCATGAGAAAAGCGCAGCAAACCATGCCTCGAATGTTGGCAGTCTGGCCAGCTTCAGCAACACTAAATCTAAAGCTGACATCGAGTCAGGAGTTCGGGGAGTGGCTTGCAACAGATGTTGGTGCGCAGTTGGGAAGCGCTGTTGTCGCCACCATCACCGCCACCATAAGCTGCATCTCGCTCTTTCCTAGTTGCTGTTCGGGCTCTGAGTAAAAGCTACCGGGTGCATTTATAGGTAATACATGGGCCTAAATAATTGCCTATACTATTTTGGGGGTTCCCGATTCTAGTCATAGTATAATGGGCACCAAAACGTTCTGATTATTAAGACCCTTATAGTACCTGCGTTGGGCCGGGAGGCAAAACAAAATGCACTCGCACTTGCCTTAGAACCTTCATCGGCAACCGGCTGAGCCGGCTAAGCACGACTAGCTTGAGCCATCTTCCCCAACCCGACGCCTCATAAAACCCTCTATCCCACTCCACCCCGAGTTCCCAGCCCTCAAATTGAATCTCGGTCCGAGAATCCATGACAGACAGGTCTACAGCCAATCCTATGAAAACAACAGTCATGCACTGCAGCTCGCTCCGCACCGGGGAAGTTCAGGCTGGGCTTTAAGTTTTTGGGGTTTGGGGTTTAGGGTCTAGGGTTGCCTGCATCTGAAGCACCAACATCCCCAACCCATGAGGGGCTTTTGAGACGCAAACTCGAATAGCAGGATCCTGACCACAAGAACCCGTAAACAAGAAGCTATCGACATCTACTTGAAATATACATCTTCCTGTTTTGTTGGAAATAGTATGTCTGAACCGCGTGCAAGCTTGTAATAGTATTCCCGTGTAGTCTTATATCAGATAACATATCCCAGGACCCTATCGGCCCTATTCTCATTGTTAAGGCCCCCACATAGGTTATGACGAGTTTGTGCGACTCTTCAAGGAGCAGGTAATGTCGTGCCTCCGTCAGAAAGAGGGCCGACAGGTGCATCTTCATCAAAAGTAGTGTACTTGGAGGCTATAAGGGTTGAGGGTTTAGGATTTAGGGTTTAGGGTTTAGGGTTCATGGGTCGTTATAAATGGGGTTATCAGTCCCCTAATATGGGTAATATTTACAGTTACCCTACTTTTAACCCATTTATAACTACCCATGAACCTCCAAGTAGTTCCCTAAACCCTACACCCTTCAAGCCCTGAAGCCTGGTCTTGAAAAGCACCGCAAGCCCAATGAGAGCGACGCCGCAAGGCCTGTGGGCTGGCTGTGGAGTGTAGAGCAGTAGTAAGTTCAATATGCCGGGTTCGTAGAGTAAAGGGTATCGTTTTTATTTTTTGGAGACACCGAAATCCCGTGCTGAAAAATCATTCCTAGACTATACGTAGATCCTACGATTTAGCACTTATGCTTCTGCATGGCATGTGCAGATCATTTCCTTCTATGCTAGGCCCTCGGCCCTAGACTTGGTCTAGCTGAAAAAGTCTTAGCCAGCCCCACTTGTTGACACCAAGGACTGTGGCGTGCCTTGGCAGAGTTGCCAGAGTTTTGTTTTGTGGGGCTAAGCACCTCAAGAAGTAAGTAGTACCTTGCTCTGAAAAGCCTGAACGGTAAGCACTGAACCCGGCAAGGGAACCTCACAGACATTGAACCCGGGCGATCATTGATCCTCCCAGAACATTGGCATACGGTTGGTCTGCGGGCTGTTCAGAGGTTGTCTGCACTGAATCAGTGGCTAAGTTGTTAAAAAAATTGGGTTTTTCGAGTACACAAGCGTTTACCGTAATAGATAATGAACGTTCAAGGCTAAACCCCAAAACCCCCATACCTGCAAATTGGTTATTGACCTCTCAGCCTCTCAGACAAAACATCGCCGACGCCTTCGCCGTCGGCAACGTGACTTGTCAGAGTTTTTGGCAAGCTTTCACTGCATCTAAGCAGAGATCTTGATGTGCTTGCTGTTTTGTCTTTACTTTGTTGACACAAGCCCTCAGCTAGAGCTGAAGACAGGGACGGCACCTAATACTCTCAATCCCTATAGACCCTAAGAACCTTAAACCCTGAAGCCCTACAGCCTAAAGCCCTAACCCCAGAGACTCCAAAACCCTTTAATTAAGGAATATACCTTAAATCTTATTATGGTTCCTATCATAATTTAAGGTATATTCCTTAATTAAGGGGTTTTGGAGTCTCTGGGACACTCCAACATCCAAAGCAAAACCCCGTCGCCACCGTGGTCCTGCACAAAGGAAAGCTGGCATCAATGCTTTCGGGGGCTGAGCTATCACTCAATCAACCTGCTCCTCGGCTGCGCCTGTAGGCCTTAGGGCCTTTGGGTTTATGGCTTAGGCCTCATAGGGGGGCGCTTTGAATTGGGGTGCATGCCTTTGGGGTTCCTTAAACTACGGGTCCGGGCCACTTTCTGTGCTGAATCGCCCGTATGCAATGCTCCGGTGTAGCATCGTACACGACGGTCTGGCCGTTGTCATGGTGTGATCGATGTTATCGACCTCGCTGTCGTCATGGTGATTTATGGTGATCGTGTGTGCACGCGTTCGTCATCACATGAGTGACTGCGGATGTATGAACTTGCTGCTTGATGTCGGCTTCTGGGTTACGTCCCGGGCATCCGTGCAGTTGGACGGATGTACTTGCATATGTCTCGTACGGGCCGCCTGGGTTCTCACGCTACGCAGCAAGCACATGAAATGGCAGCCGTCATGGACAGGCGCTGGGGCTTTCCGCTTTCATCTGCGGGTCAGAAATTCTTCATCCAGTCTCCAAAAATACAAACTTTGCGGCAAACTGCAAAACCTGGCTTCTGCACACTGACATCACGATAAGTGGAGGATTTACGTTTTTGGGTGTGCATGGCAGTGTACTTATATGATCTAATTAGAAGGCTTCGGTTTCTCCTGCGTTCATAAAAATTGACTACAAGTTGCGGTGCCCAGGACAGCCGAGCAGGACGTGTATGATTCGCGAGGCTCGCAGTATTCCGTTGTCTTGGCAATACCGACACCCGTCAGTGCATCTGAGTGGATATCATTGCGGTGGAGGACGAGGGTTGCAGGTGTTCTTGATGTTTCTGGTTGCTCATGCAAGCCAGTCTAGACTGCCAACTCGTCGAAGCATCGACAGAAGTTTGTCCCAGACAAATGCAACTACAGTGATAGCAGGCAAAGCAATGGTCCCTAAACCCTAAGCAGAGCAAGAGCTACATGGGGGTTTCCGAAAATAGGGGGCCCTAATATAGTACCCTAAATAGTAGGATCCCTACTATAAGGACTCCAAAATAACCCCTTATTTTCGGAAACTCCCACATGTCTGACAGCTGCTCCGTGGTGTTTATCCCTCGGAAGGGCGCTGCAACACGCAAGAGGGATCTGACGGAAAGCTGCGCGAGAATCTCAAACCTCTGGTTGACGTAGAGTATCTTTTATCCGAAGCACCAAACACATTGGCCGTTTCAAGTATCCTCCTTGCATCTGACGACTTACGTAAACTGCGAGGATACAGTGCGTCCGGCTTGGGTTTAAACTCGGGGGGGGGGGCCAGCAAGTGCACGTGGAGGGTTCAGGGTTCACGTTTTTGGTTTTGAAGTTTATAGGTTTCAGGGTTTAGGGTTTAGGGGAAGGCACTTCAGAGAGACCTCGTTCAAGAGAGGGTTTAGGGCTTGAAGTTGAAGGTTCATCAGATTGTAGGATCTGAACGTTAAAGCATGCTGCGGCCAGGCTATTCCATCAGGAAAGATTGGGTGAATGGGCCCAACTCCGTTTTTCGATCAGTTTTAGGCTGCTGGGCTGCGAGACTTTGAGGGTTTAGGACTTGGGGGTTTAGGATTTAGGGTGTAGGGCTCACTATCGGATCTGGGATTGGCGGCTGCATGCCCATGTGTGTGCTAGGCCTTGGATGCGCAGGTATGCGGCGGCAGAAGTGCTTCAAAAGTGCTGAGTGTAAACAGCGTCATCTACAGTGTGTACATGATTTTGGTGGCACAGCCGAATCCGAAGTGCGACTGCTCATGACTATGATCCGAGGTGCCTTTCTTAATCAGAGTTATGAAGCGGACTACGACGCTTTCTACTTCATGGAGCTCTCTGCAGGGCTTTAAGTTGACAGCACCGAGATGCATTCCAGTGTGCGGCACACTTAACTAAATGGTTTGGGGTGACATGTACCTGGAGGTCCATGCGTAGTTAGAAATGGGGTTAGAAGTAGGGTAAGCAAAACTTCATTGTGACCATGTTGGGGGGTCTTATAACCCTCCAAGTAAAAGCTACCGAGACCTGGCACTTTGGTTTGCGTAACCCATTGCCAACTGCATCGGATGGTGCATGTAACTTCGGTGCTTCGTTTGGAAGTTCCCGAGTGCAATTGTGAACATGTTTGAAGTGCTTGTGTCCGAAAGGAGATTGATGCCGTGCCCGTCAAGGAGTTGTGGTTGAACCAGCTGATTGCCGAGGTGCAGCCTGCACGAAGGGATCGGGGTAGCTTCAAGGACTATACCCGAAGCTGCTGAATATCTGGATGTGACGAACTGCGTGCGCTGTTCTGCACAGCCTCGGGTTTCAGGAAGTTGGTAGAAGTCACTCATGGGCCCCATAGTAGTTCCTTTTCGGGATTACCTAATAGGATCCTAAATATGAACCCCAGAAAGGAAATACTATATTGGGCCTATGGGTAGAGAGATTCCGATTCTTCCTAAACCCAGAGACTCCAAGATCCCTTAATTAAGGAATATACCTTATCAATTTTAGTAGGATCCCTAAACCCTAAACCCTAAACCCCTAATATGATCTAAGGTATTTTCCTTAACTAAGGGGTATTGGAGTCTCAGAGAATCCTCAACTCAAAAGTCGCCTCTTTTGATGTAGTTTAGGGTTTAGGAGTTTCGGGTATAGGGGTTTAGGGGTTTAGGGTTTAGGGTTTGGGGTTTAGGGGTTTAGGGGTTTAGGGCTTAAGGGTTTAGGGTTTTAGCGCCCACGTCGCGAGGCTTTCTATTACCCTCGGGCCGCCATCCGTGGAAGTCGCTACCGAGGCAATCAGGGCTTGCCGTCGGAGCGTGAGGTTCAGGCCTTGTCTAATGTAGAGGCCTGGAGAAGTACCTATATTATTTTTGGGGTTTCCTGATTATAAGTACCTATATTATTTTGGGGTTTCCTGATTATAAGTACCTATATTATTTTGGGGTTTCCTGATTATAAGTACCTATATTATTTTGGGGGTTCCTGATTATAAGTATAGTATAATGGGCCCCTAAAGCCCTATTCTACTTGCTAAGGCGCCTATGTTAGGGTTTACAGACGGCTGGGGTTGAGGTTTGTGGGTGTAACATAAGCTCCCTGCTGCCAGGGATCTGTAGTGACTGCATTAAAGAACAGTCCCCAGCCGCTTTGTAAGATGTTGTGCGTCCCCTCGTAGCCACCTGCGAGGATCTTTTTCAGCGAACTCTGCGCAACCCTAAAGCATTACTGAAACCCGTGTTCAAAGATGATGGCTCATCACCCATCATTCATACCCCAGATTCCCAGTCGAGGCGAAGCGTGAGCTTCGAGCCCCCGACGTTTTTAGGCTTCAGTTTAGGATTCCTCATATCGTTGAAGATAATTATGAGATATTGAGAGCCTCATCACTAATCATCCTTCATACATGTTGCAACTATCAGAATTTGCTGCGTCAGATCTAAACCAGAAACCGACCCGCTGAACCTGCTGATTCATCCTAGACCCTCCTTGTACCCTCTGTTCGACACTGAATACCTACTATTGGGGCCGTATACTTCTTGTTGAAGCCCTAGACCCTAAACCCTGTTTTTAAGCTCAGGGGTCTGTGTTGTTTGCTCGAGTACAACATCGCTGTATGTTTTCAGCGACCCCATAAAGTTCATGAGGCGAACCCCCCCCCCCCCGT